GGTTAGAGCAGTCTGCAATCAAAACGAAATACTTCTTCGATATGACTGATCAAACGGTCTTGCATTTCTCTGGAAACCATCGAATTGCTTCAATTCTTCCTGCAGGTAAGACACTTCAAATGCAGAAATAGTGAAGACATCGTCTAATGCACAAAATAAACGTTAAATTTATGAGCCATTTGCATATCCATGGAACATGGTGCCGTTTTCTTCCACGATCTAGAACTCTCCAGTACCATTCCATAATTCCACTCGATACAGACATGCGAGCTTTGGAGAAGGAAAGAGTACACATAGAGAGATGTGGGCGCAGTTCGGCGGAAGGGGGTAGGGGCATTTTGCACTTTCGCTGCTTCACTAGTTCCGGTTTAAAATCTTACTCTTAAACCTGTGTACTCTTGTGAATCTGGAGCAAGCTCGTCTAGCAACCATGATAGAACCATCTCAGCTTTGTAAGCTCATAAACAGCTATTTAGATGGGTAGGCATATCGATGGGAAGTAGCAGAAGTGCAATGTGCCTCTCGTTCTTCTTCCTCTCCGTGAACTGCCCCAGATATCTACTAGTCTCCAAGAAATCTACATAGCTCTATCACAACAATGAAATTATTGACATAGTGCCAGAAGTACTCCTTCTTTCGTGTTCCTGTTTCTCGCTCATTCTCGCTTCTTCGTCTCCCTTTTTATTTGGTTCCATTTCTGCCTCCGATGACTAATACTTACGTTTCCCGTCTACAACACCTCTGACGCTGTACACTCCCACTTTTCTATTTCTTGGAATTTTGACACTTTCTTGATATCTAATCGTTCGCGGTTTGTTTTACTCTCCACGCCCTGCTGATAGTTTCGCTTCAGATTCTGTTATCATACCAAGCCAAGAAGACGGGGCTTTACAGTTTGTGGGTCTGATCAAATGAGGGTTCCATGTTTTCAACGTCGAAACATAGGAATGACATAAAATCGACCTACAGCTACTGCAGAACCACTTATTTTACTTGGGAAGAACAGACACAGCGAATGACATATAGCAAGACCAAATACCTTTTCTTTATCAGTGCCCAGCAAATTCCTTTCATTTCTTGCCTTCAACTTCCCTGGAGCTTCCACAGTAGGCAATGAAGTAGAGAAGATCATCAATTTACCAGCACGATCGGCACACTGAAATTTCTTTCTCAACAAGTCAGAAACTCAGCACAACAGCTACCACTAGTCACACAGTTGGAGTGGTTACCGAACTGCCTGGTTGAGATCATTTGTGCATGGAGAAAAACAGCTAACAAGGGAATGGTTTGAACCTCCCATGGAACTTCGAAAGGAGACCTAACGGTCTCGCTTCCAAGTCAAACGCACGCGGGTTTGCATCCGGTTGGCGCGAAAATTTTTGCTTCGCTCCCTAGAGCTTCAACTCTAATTTTCGAAATTCTTCCGAGTTTACGGCCCAGCAGGGCAAGTAGATCAAGTATATGACGTACTCGATCTAGTATGGATTTGGTCATATCTGCCCTCTCTGAACATATTACCCATCCGACAATTCAAAGTTTTGCCCAGAATCGCAATTTGGCCAGACGAGCGTTTTTTCGTCGAAGGATGTGATATTCGTGTTCAGGGGGTCGAAATCTCCCATGAACGAGTTTCTCGCCAAAACTTTGAATTGGGATGGGTAATATGTTCAGGGAGGGCAGATATGACCAAATCCATACTAGATCGAGTACGTCATATACTTGATGTACTTGATCTACTTGCCCTGCTGGGCCGTAAATTCGGAAGAATTTCGAAAATTAGAGTTGAAGCTCTTATACGGAGCGAAGCAAAAATCTTTGC